ATATATATATATATATATATATATATATATATTAGTTGAGTTCCACGGTATAAACAACTCTAACCTTGTCCTCAAGGTAGAAGGAAATAAGATAATGTTCTCCCCAAATAAGCTGCAATTAATTTAAATATGGAGAGTTTTATTTTCTGTCCTACTTTCTCCTTTCGAAGAAAGTTTTGGAGCGTCTAAAGGACCGTGAGATTATTGGTCTTTATCATATTCATGCGCTGAGGTAATATTACTTGGTAAGCATTTACTCGAGTGAGTCTTTGGTAAACAGCCCCTAAATCTCCATTTTTTTTTCCATTTTGAAACATTTCGAAGTTGTTCCTTGTTAATACCATGCATCATGATGTAGGTCTCATCATTTTCACCGCGGCTTGACATGGATGATAATCAATCAAATTAAGGCTACATGCAAATTTAAAAAAAATTATGAACTAAACACCTCTCGTCCGACAACCCCTTTCATCGTTTTCTCAGTCGTGGCAGTCCGCTTTCTCTCCTTCCTTTCACTCACACTTGGTGCTTGTTCATTGCATCTCCATGGTAGATCCTCGAATCGACCATTAGCATCAGACTTGACTTGTTGAAAGTTTTGTCAACACCAACAATGCAACCTTTGGTTATTATAAAAAATGAATCAAAGACTTAAAAGCCGTTTATCAAATGCTTACCTGAGTAAGTTCTTGCCAAGTCACATTACTTTACCGGATGAATATGACAAGGACCAAAAATTTTACCCGGTAAGAACGAAGGCAAGGACCAAGAGTCTTACCCGGCAAGTGATGACAACGACACTTACTACGGTTAGTGCTTATCGGATGAATTATTACACAAGAGAAACAATAAATCGAATCATAAACCTTAGAATACACCCACATACATACTACTCAATGTGAAAACAAAAATTGAAAACCAAAGCCCTAAATCAAAATTATTCTATAAATATATGTTAAAATAACTGAAATGTTAATCCTTTTTTTACGATTCTCCTTGCAATTTCCAAGGGGGTTTAGGGACTGAAACCAGATTCTTCATAGACCACAGGGACTAAATTTGTAATTTACGTAAATTGGGGAAGGAGGCCGGCTGACACCTTGTAAGAGACACAGTCACGTTAAGACCCGTGACATGCATGTAACAGCGTGTCATTGCCATCTGACCCCACAAATCAAACCCTATTCTTTTGTTCTTTTGGCTCCACCAAATTAACCAACTCTTTTATTTATATATATATATATATATAGGGGTTGGTTCAAATACTAACCAGGATTTTTGTGTTAACTTTGTTAACCAAGCCCAACCAATCATATTCCATCTTTTCTTTAGGTTCACATATAACTCATATATTAATGACAAGGGTAATTAAGTAATTTGTCATTTATGTAACTCTCAAATCATTAATTGGGAGTTACAAATATAAAAATTTCAATAATTGATGATTATTTAATATTGATATTTTTTATACGTGTTCATATTTTGTAATTTTGATTTATTCTATCCATAATGATATTGATTTTGTAATTGTTAAAGAATTTCCGAGTAATATGGATAAATCTATTGGAAAACAGATAGACAACAATGAGAATGAAAAATGTTAAAATCGTCTACGACTACAATCAGAATTCGAATTCATATGTAATTGTTAAAGAATTGTTCACAAGTGTTCATATTGTGTTCATATGTACAAGAGCTGCATATCTCAACATTGGCTTGCTCCTGAATGTGTTCATAATGAATGAACTATTGTTCACAAACTGTTCATATTGTGTTCATATGTACACTAGCTGCATATCTCAACATTGGCTTGCTCCTGAATGTGTTCATAATGAAGGAACTATTGTTCACAAAATGTTCATATTGTGTTCATATGTACACTAGCTGCATATCTCAACATTGGCTTGCTCCTGAATGTGTTCATAATGAAGGAACTATTGTTCACAAACTGTTCATATTGTGTTCATAACTATTTTATTTATTTATTTACTTTCGTGTAACAACTATTCTTATTATATTTATATTGTGTTCATAAATGCTATACAGTCCAAATTCATATATATGTCAATTTTTGTTCGTATTTGACACAATGGTTTTTATATATATATATATATATATATATATGTGTGTGTGTATGTTCATATGGTTCTTACATTAATAAAAATAATGAGATTTTTTTGATTTTGTAACTCTCAATTAATGATATGGGAGTTACATAAAAAGAAAATTACCTAAATACCATTTTCCCTTTTGTTCACATATGTTCTTTGAAATTATAAATTTAAAAATTTAATTTTTTTATCATGATTAATCACATCCCTTTATTGTAAGAATCAATGGCCAAGATTGGTTAACAAAGTTAACACAAAAATCTTGGTTACTATTTGAACCAAGCTATATATATATATATATATATATATATATAACCAATGATAAACGATTAGATGTTGAAAATTAAGAGGTACAACTTCTTTTGCACCTTGTATAAGTTTTGAAGCTAAATATTTCCACTAATATTAAAATTAAATTATTTTTAATTTTTAGGTTACACTTTATACTTTTATATTTAGTTATTAATTTACTTTATATCACTTTTTTTATTTTACACTTTTATCATATTATCATACATAATCGTATATTATGTAAAATCTATTAAAAAATATAATTCATTTTTTACAAATTATACCATTATAATCGTCTCATCAATGCTTTCAAAATGAGCCCAATATTAAATATTTTTCGATTTAATCATATTATTAAATAACATAAATACATAGTGAATTGTTTCTAAAACTTTCATTTTATACCTTATAGTTATCGTATTTAATCTGTTTTATATTTCTTCTTTTTTCATTTATATTTTACACTTATAACTTACAAATTTACTGTAAACCCATAACCTTAAATCTCCACATCCCAATATAATATTAAAGATCAAATATTTTTTTTTATTTTTAAATTACAATTTTTACTCATATAATTAGTTATATAATTTGTTTGTATCACTTACTTTTCTATTTTTTATTTTTTATTTTTATCATATTAAAATAAATAATCCAGTATGAACTAAAATTATTATGAAATACATTTCATTTTTTTAGATTATATAATTATAATCGTCTCATCAACATCTTTAAAGTGAATCAATATTGAATATTTTAAATTTTATTATATTATTAAATATCATAAATATGTAATGAGTTATTTTTAAAACTTATTTTTAGTTTACACCCTTATCTATATATATTATCCATATTATATTATAAAACATGTTAAACGGTTATTATTGAATTTTTAAGAGTTATAAATTTTGATCCATTAATTATGTACAATTTTTGAACTTTTACAACCTCCACATTCAACATGACAATTAAAAATAAAATTATTTTTTATTATTAAATTACACTTTATAATTAGTTATTTAATTTACTTTATGTTGGTCATCTCTCTCATTGATTTGATGATAATCCCTTTTATCTATCGAAGTATATTGTTTCTGCCATTCAGTTTCAGCAATCTTCATTGAGTCTGTTCAGTGATTACTGAACACATATTGTAAATTGTTCACGTTATACTTCAAGAAGATAAAACTCACACCACATATCCTTCAGCAATGTCAAAGACAGAAGCTGAAGATTAGAGACCAACAAGTCCGTGATATGAATCGGTATTCAGTAATAACAAGCTCGTCTACATATGTGTGAAGTCCGCGCAAGATTCAGTGAACACTGATGAGACCTTTCAGCGTCATCCCATGTTCAATGATCAAATGAAACTTGTCGAGCAAGATTGTTTTTTGTCTTGTCCTCTCACACACAAAGGACAAACCCATACATTTCTAAAGTATAGTATAGTACGGAGTCACTCCGTTGATTCTAACATGCTTACCTACTTTATGAAAGAGGACTGTTCACATATGGCCAAAAGCCTGCCAAATCTGAACAAAGGATAAGCTTTCCCCTAAAAGTTTGACATGTGTTTTGTACATTTTGAATTGCATTTAATGTAATAGGCATAAATAGCTGAATGGTTCCCCTCTCAGTTATCATCTTCCTCATTAAGAACTTACCCAAGAAGTTGTTTCTCTTATTACTTTCTGTCTAAGAGAAAGAACCACTTTAACAAGTGAAGAACACATGTATTCTTCTTTATTTCTTGTAACATATCTTTTCTCATTATTATTTGTAATCTTGTGTGTATCTTGGATTGTTTAGATAAGTTTTGTATCTTATCTCTTCCGCAAACAATCTGTAAAATTCGTATTGATCTTTATCAATATATAATTTTTAAAAGTGAAAGTTTACGTATTTGTTTTTATCCCCCCTTAATGACAAACTGTTACCTATAAACTCTTGTATATCTGGCTGGGGCCAACATTTTATCTCTTCTTTTCCTATTTTTCATTTTATACCTTCTCATATTAATATATGTAACTATATATTAACAAAAATATATTTAAAAAACATTCAATTTTTTATAAATTATATCATAATAATCGTCTCTTCAATAAGGATCTTGAATCTAATATTCTTAGAATCGTACAACAAACTACAATATATACTTAGTTTTGAGCAAGGAGCCATAATAAACTCTTGGGTTCGTTTGGTATACAAACAAGACTAGAAAGGAGTCAAGGACCGGACGGACAAGAGTGAGGTAGGCAGGTGAAAATTTTCCATCAAGAGGGAAGCTATTGCTCCTTTTTTCACCCTCACATACTATGTTTCAATTCTCGATTCTAGTATTGAGCAAAAAGTTATACCTATAGGTTCGGTATTACAGGTCAATCCTAGTTCACTAGTACCAATAGGCAACAGAGGGGAAGAAGCACTACACCTAGAAATCAACAACACGAAAACTTTGTTTAACAAGCTTGGGACTAAAAGAATGGTTGGACAACAAACATCCATCTCGTTTACATTTTGTTTACCCGTATAACCATCAAAGGTTGTTGAAGTAACTAATTCCTGGAAATAGGGAAGCGTTGAGAACAAAGAAATTGTTGCAGTTATTATTTCTCTCTAGTACCAATATTTTGATGTTAAGAAAAGATCTCTTGCAAAAGCCCTACACAGTTCCTAATGAGAAGGTTTTCATCTTCTTTATAATTTTCTCATTATGCACATAAGGGAGGAGCCGTATGAGAAGAAAATCTCATGTACGGTTCTGTAATGGAGATTCTTTGAATTGAATGACGACCGTGATAGATGTCAGTTCAATCCGAAGGAAATTATGCAGCCAATTTTGTCTCATGTTCCACCTATTTTGGCGGGATTGAAAAATGCATTTCTGTCCCCCTCGGATTGTGTCATGTCTAGTGCCAAAACAATTGTACTCTATCTTGTCCCATGTGCACGTATGTACAATACATGACCTATTCGCTTTTTATGCCAACCTTCAATGGATCATACGGAACTTTCTTGTGAAACCATTTGTCAAACGGAGTGAAGAAATAACACATTATATTCATGCATTATCTAGAAGAAAGTCATTCAAAAAAATTATAATGATATATTTTGCTTACATTCAAAAGGTCTATAATCAGTTGGGCACAGAATAGCATTGCAGAAGCAGCTTCGGAGATCTGCACGTCAACCCGTACATCAAATGCTTTAGAAGTGAAATCTAGGCCCAGTTCAAGCAGTTTTCTGCAAGAATATAGCAATCAGGCATCATGAGACTCCTTGAAAACACCTTTGTAGTTCAATAACACTAATGGTGAAGGAATACCTTACCGTACTCTATCCAAGGCCTCGCACGTATTGGTCAAGGGTCGTGTTGAATAACTCACTTCTACACAAGCAAATAGAGAGATGTGAACTTATAGTCCTAATGTTTACCATATAATTGTAAAATATGGATCATGACATTGAAGAACAATCGAAAAGATATATGCCAACCACTATCTCTTATTGGTGCAAATATTTATGCAGATGTTCAAATGTACAAAAATTAAGAACCAGCCCATAAGGCATCTCCAATGTTACCACTAAAATACTAAACTTGGTGTAGAAGTGCAAAAAATCATCTGTGATCAAGACGCTATATTTGGTGTAAGATGTAGTGTAATAAATAGTAACTTGCCAAATTACACCAAATTTGGTGCAACACTATTCATTACACTAAACTTAGAATATGTCGTGTTAACCCTTTTGATTAATGAACTTTTATTTTATATTGCATCATATTTTCATTAATTCACATTATTTGCTAAATATTTAAACTAACAAGTAAATATTAATTAAATAAAATATCATTACAAAAATATCATTGAGGCCTTTTAATGAGGCATAACATGCTAAGTGTGAACCACATGTTGAGCTAGTACCCAATGTACCTCTCCTAACACCTACAGAGACTTATGATCCACGATGTACCCCTCTCCCTGATATTCCAATTGCCTTCAGAAAAGGCACAAAAACTTGTACCAGACATCTCATCCACAAACCACAATGAGCCATGGGCTTACACGACAGTCATTGATAACCCATATTGTTTCCTAAGAGCATGATTGAGCCACTTAATCACCCATGATGATTTAAGGCAATGCCAAAGGAGATGGGTAATAGAAAAATCATACATGAGATGGGACTTGGAACTTCTTCCGGAAAGGGTTGTAAATGGGTACAATAAAACTTAATCCTGACGATTCATTGCATCGGTGGGAAGTCCATTTGGCTGCAAATGTCTATTCCCAGGCTTAAGTGAAGGACTGTGATGAGACCTCCAAAGGCCAGGATGTCACCTATACGTATTTGTATAGATTGGCTTCTTGGCTGCTCCATAAGTTAGATGTCAAGAATGTCTTCTTTAATGACACTCTTGAGGAGGAGGTATACATAGAGGAACCACATAAGTTTGTTATCGAGGAGGCCTCAAAGCTATAATAGCTGTAGTGTTCATATTATGGTCTTAAGCAGCCCCCTAGAACATGGTCTAAGCAATTGTCAAATGCTTTCTAGGAGTTCTGCACTACTCGCAGTTCTAGGATTATTCTGTGTTTTTTCGGTATCATCAAAGTCGACAGCGACAAAATCATGATACTGACATATATGGATGACATTATTATTACTGAAGATGATAGCACTATGATTTCAAAGTTGAAGCATTTTCTACCATTTCAGTTTCAGCCAGTTTCAGCCTTTCAGGTTATAGATATGGGATGTCTTTGTTACTTCCTACAGGTAGAAGTTTCCGGTCTCCACAGGGGTTCTTCCATCTCAAAGAAAATACATTCTTGATATGCTTAATGAGTGTAGTCTAGTGGGTTGCAAACCAATTGACAACTTGATTCTCAAAGATGCTCACCATAAGGAAGCTACTTCCAGATGATGAAAAACCTATGAATTATCCAGAGCGATATAAAAGACTAATAGAAAAAACTACTAAGACCGATACTCGACCGGATATATCATTTACTTATTAATGTCTTGAGCCAGTTATGTCCACTCCGTACACGTCATAAGGATGCAACATTTTACGTTTGAGGTATCTCGGGGCTACACCAAACTTAGAGATACTCAATCTAGATCAGGGTTACAGTCGAGTTGATGCATTCATTGAGATTTCTCTAATGCAGTACGGTTTTGTTGCTTATTTCCACAAGATTGATTATAGGGTAATATGTATTTGTTGAAGATGATTTAGCTTCTCAAAAAAGCAAGAAACAACGCACCATCTCTCGAACAAGTACCAAGTTAGAGTATAAGCTATGGTCGACGTGCCATGCAAGATGACATAGTAAGATGACTTCTAAAAAGGCTAGGAGTGATTACAAAAGACTTGATAAAACTTTATTGTGATAGCCAATCAACTATTAATAGAACCAAGAATCAAGTATTCCATGAGAAGACTAAGCACATTATGGTTGATCATCACCCGGCCATAGACTGTGTTTGTAGAAACATGAGCAAACCCTCCATCGATCTAGTAGTGCTCCTCAAGACCAAGTACCCACCTTGTAGACATTTTCACAAAACCATTACATATAGCACAAATAGACTATTTGTGACAAGTTGTGCTTGATTAATATCTTTGTTTTAACTTAAGGAGTGTTAGATATATTGTACCTATCATATAACATAATTATAGGTTCGTAATTAGGATAACATGTTGCCATTTATAGTAATTTGGTTTCATTTAGTTTCCTTATAATCTTGTTGTGTATATATGGAGGTGATTGTCTCACAAAACAATAAACAAATTTCTCATATTACATTTTCCAATTGTTATGCTTTCACAATGACCCTCCTAGTCTTAGTGACCCTTCATGTGTCCCCTACCTTCTAGAATTTCGTTGTTATCCATCATTAGCCACCTTTTTTCCTCTCCAAATTCTTACGTTGCTCTAACCGGTCTCTTCCCCCATCAGAAGTATCTTCATCGTTGGCCCACCACCTTCTCCCGATGCTCCTGCCATCGATGGCATCACTATGCTTTCGACGATTTTAGTAATAATTCCTCCATCAAAGCAACCTCTTGTCCATCTCAGTAAAACATTTCAACATTGTCATTTTCTTTGCAACATTGTCAATTTCTTCAACTCCTCTGACCTTCTTTCACTTCATTGGTCCTCAAACAGACTTTAGTATTGAACGAAAATAACCAGCTATAAAACACATTGGTTAGCCTACTTTCAAGAGGTTGGTTGTCTCCCCCAAAAACCCTAGAAACTAACAATAATCTCACTAAACAAATTTTTCTACCTACCATATTTGGTCCCTCCCCTACATAAGGAATAAATCATTACCTTATTATTAAACCCTATTTTTTGAAACGGATCAAGGCCTAAGCATAAGCCTAATATTGCTTTTCCGCCCCACGCCTCGAATATCCTTAAGAAACGGTATAATACCCCGGTTTCTGTTATAACCGTTTATTTCGTTTCCGTTCTTTATGTATATATAAGTATCCGTGCATTAATTGCTTGTACAATAGCTTGAGGTGTCTTGTACCTTGTCCTTGAAATGAAGAGTATAGTGGCAAATAAGGACCAAGGTTGTACAAGCTAACCATAGTTTAGGACCAAAAATGTAGTGACTTTGTCATATAGGGGTTGGTCTGTAAAAGGCCAAAGTTGGGGATTTATAAAATAAATTCTTTTTCCAATAAATATATATATATATATATATATGATTTATGATTTTAAATTTTTTATTCTCTCTCTCTTCTCTCAAAACCCTCTCTTTACTCTCTTTGAATCCCAACCCTAAAATTATAAGACATCCTTCATGCATTGATGAATCTTGAAGTTTTGAAGAATTGAAGCCACATTTGGGATTAGAATAATCATTATAAGGTTTGATCATGTTTTGTTTCAAGTATTTTCATATAATCCTGTGGTTTGGAGGAATTGGTCCTAAACCAATCTATTTTAATCTTGTAGGATTGTATAAATTGAAGCTAAGGAGGGAGAATCTCATCAAATTGTAGTGTTCTCCATCTTTGCTAGCAAGGTATGAAGTGGTGTTAGTAATTAGGGTTGCATTTTTAGGGATTTCTATGTTAAGGTTTAATAATATGAGGGTAAATAAGTTAGTTTGTTGTAGTTTGGGTATCAATTATTGAATTTTTCTTGCTGCTGGATCAGAGCAGAAAATTCAGTTTGTTTAAAAATTCGTATAAAATAGTCCGTAGCTCTGATTGAGCTGTATGATACATCAATGAATAGCTCTATGTGTCTACTACAACTTTGTAGTTTACATCAAGATCTAATTGTGGCTCAAGAGGGCTCGAAACAGTGTATTTCCAAAACTGGTCCTGTGAAAACGGGATTTGCACACTGTTTATGTATAATTCATATAAAATTGGTCATTGCGCCAAATGAGTTGAGTTCAAAGCAATTGGAACCATAAGAGAGAGATCTTCGACTTTCGTTTAGACCCAAAAATCTAATTTGGCCACTAGGTGTAAGAAACAGTTTTCCAAATCAAGTTGATACAAGCTTTCCAATGCAGGGGTATAAACAGCTTTGGTTGTTTGTACATCGTGCCTAAAGGCATGTACTTTATGCAACTCATTTTTAATCTGATCCCAAACTTTATTTAGCCTATTTAGGATTAGTATAGGCTCAATAGCAAGGCATAAGGTTCATTAGCATATATGTTTTGTTTGATAGTAATGTAATTCCGAATCCATTGTTTTTTTATATAGGATCCCAAAATTGACAAAGGTCGTCATGTGTCTCGAATTGTACGGTTACTTCATCCATCAGGTATGGATTTCTATAATTCTTTGACTCGTGGATGGTCTATTGAAATGGTTATCTAATTCGTGGTTCATGATACACCACAATACACATACGAGATAGGTGTCAATATGATATTGCTCATGATCAATCCCAGTTGTTATGAGGTTGTCTTGGATTCATTGTGGTTTGTTTGGTATCCTTTCTTGATCTAAGATTTCATGATTGGTTATTTATTTCATAACTTATCCGTGATCATGTCTTTCTGTTTGGTGTTTATAAATACTTGATTTCACACGATTATGGATTCCCTAATCTTGACTATTTGTTGAACACTGAATTGTTATGTGATTGCCACACTTCGTGGTGGCCCTTTTGTTTATACGTTTTTAGAACACACAGCCAATGGGGCACCATAGTCGGGATTGCTTCCATGGTGGCTATACTATCATGCCATCCTCACTCCGATTTAAGTGGACTTGGCCTGGTACCGGTCATTCAAAGGGCGTATGGATCGATCCTAGAGAGTTTACCCATATTTCAGGACGTGAACATGTCATGGAGTGGACTAGATAGTCGTGTGCCCGCACCTCTACCCCCACCTGTCCGAGACTCCAAGCGGATTTGGCCATCCATCGGACAACGCATCTTTATGATGCGGTTTAGAATAAGTTATCCTTGGTTTTGCTTTCGGGTGTATATTAGCTCCCTCTCGTTATGCACATTTGAATTACATACTAATTGAGTCTTGAATTTGATTATACGTTTTACTTCCGCTGTTTGTTTTAATTTAAGTTCAGTTTACTTAGTTTATCTTTAATCCGTTCACTAAGCATGTCGCTCAGCCGTGTCTTTCTTTTTCTATGCACAGCAGCTTAGTAGCAATTACGTTGGGGATGGGATTGAGAGCTGAGCATGTTTCTTTTGAAGTGACACCTTGGAGACATCATTTATAACTTGATCTTGTATATTTTGTATATCTTATGTTGTAAACTTTTGGTAACTCTCCAAGGTTGTGTATTGTATATATATATATATATATATATATATAAAGGATTTAGGATGTTACAAACGGAAATATATTTTAAACAATTAACTTGCATAACAAATGACCACATTCCATCTCATATTAACTTGGGGAGGTTCCAATTCAGAAACATAAATGAAAAGCTTAATTAGTTTTCAAACATGGTAAAATCGCATATTGAACAAGCCTGCTTCATATTTGGTCTGGTTGCACACTACAGATTGCACGCACACACACTAGAAGGTAAAAGTACATTACTTGATTGGAGTTCCAGGAGTGTACAATGGATTCTTCACAACATATTCAACATACAAATTGTAAATGTATTTCAGAGACTCTCTGAGATCGCTAGCCTTGGGATGTGTGACAAGGATGATCTGAAAGAATTACCAAAGGATAACAAGTAAAAATGCATTCAAAGCCAATATGATGAGTTTCAACGATCTGAAAATAGGGAATTCTAAATTTTGGCATAATCAAAATAGATATTGGGATTCAAAGAACAATTTTCCCATTTCTCCTTTATCTAAATACAGTTCTCTTGTAATCAAGCAAGTGCAAGCCCATCAATACTACAATAATCTTGAATGGTTTTAGTCCATCTGAAACTATTAACCAAATGTTGTTGTGCAGCTTGCAAGTTATTAAAATTGGTTCATATTCCCCCAAAAATAAGTTATCCACAACGAGTTCAGCATTTTATAGACCGAGTGGAACTTTGCAACTTGAGAAACGTGGTTCTCTTTGCTAATTTTTAGACAGGCAAAAAAGCTAATAGCACTTCCACATGCAACCAAATCAATACAAAGTGAAGTATCAATGACATGAGCAATTTCGAAGTGCTTGGTTGCACATATGGTTAGAATAAATATGTCTCAGATAACTAGGAGTAGTGAAATAATATGAAATTGTTGCCAAGAGATACATCGCAATGAAGCATCTATAACGATAAAAAAAGGAATCAATCAATAAAATCTTTAGACCTTTATCCCAGATGGACTCTCCATGAAACTCAATTTGTAAGTATTAGTCCGAAAGCTGTGAAACGAACAACCTTGTCCTGGTAGCTGAGGCACCCCAAGATTCCCTTTCTCAACACTGCCCAAAAAAAAATTATGGTAAAAAAGAACCTATGAATGCAGGTATAGATAGAATCTAAAGTCCAGACTCCGAAGTAGGTGAGTAAACACTTGTATAACTACAATAAGCAAGCTGAGAGAACCCACAAAATGACACACCACTTTCAGTATGAGCTCTAGACCTTCAGAGAGTACCAGGTTGATAATTTCAATTCGTTTTCTGTAGTAGACGTTTGACCATAACGTATTATACTGATTTATGTAAGGATTATGCACTTTAATCATGCGGTTCTCCCTTTGTTTGCTTACTGTAGAAATAAAAGGGTGCTTCTGATCGGAAGTAACCACTAGTTATTGGGCAAAAATCCGGGGGAAATCAAGTCCATAATCGCATAGAACACCGTAAAAGCCTAAAAGAACTTTCAAAACGTAATCCTAAATCTGGCATTCTAATTCGCAATCAAATTCTTAACTACGAAGTCACAGGATCCGTAGACACTTACTGGAATTATGGATTTAAAGAAAGAAATTGATAACACAAACCTCGATGGGTCCATTTTGGCGGTTAGGGATTTAAGAGAAAAAAGGAGACCGAACATGAGCTTATGATCTTGGTTGGAATCGAGTGTACGAAGAGGTCGATTCCACTCCCTGTAAAGCAAACAGACGCCATTCCTGTTGAATACGTACATCATATGCGCATTGTTGCCCGATGCCGTCGGCAACGGCGGGGATGGACTGATCTCAGAACTTCCAAAGAACTGCATTTCCAGATCCTAATATCTGTGACTCGAAATTTTCCTATGGAACATGAAAAAGCGCAGCCAACAATCGCCGACTTCACACTCCAATCACTCAAGGAGAACGATGGATCGTGGTGTTTATACAGGCAGAGAAATTCGGACCGGAGCGCTCGTTAATGGGTCACCGGGACTAGGGGGTGTAAATGATATGGTCGATCTCGAGACGAGCATGCGTGGCTGGACTCGACTCGAAAACTCGTAAGCAGATAAAAATTAAACTTGATTTGAATCCGATTGTAAATTTTTAAACTCAAACTCGTTTTTCAAGCTCGAGCTCCTACTTCAGTCAAGCTCGAACTCGGACTCTAATCAAACTCATCCGTCAAAATTTATGAAATTTTAAGTTTTTCTCTTATAAATTATAAAACTTAAAAATATTCTTTTAAAATTTAAAAAATTAATGGGATGCACCTCAAACTTAGTGACAAACTTCATTCACATCACTCTCTTTTTATAACAACTCTTCTTTTTTTATTATCTTTCTTTTATTGTGAGACAACTCCACCAATACTTCTATAATTTGGGGAGTGCTAATGGCACCCTCTTAGTAAGAGGTATTAATTTTCTTGGAAATTGAACCCATCATTTTTTCGTAAACATCAACTCAATAACTATATATTTATATTTTATTAATTTTGTTTTATTTTATATATTTATATTAAAAAAATATATATTACTTTATTATTTTTATGTTACTTTATTATTTTAAATTTTTGGTTTTATATATTACAGTTTATTATATTATTATTATATTAATTTATTATATATTATTTACAAATTATTATATATATATATATATATATATATATATTTAGATTCTTATATTATATTATATATATTATTAGATTTTTATATTTTTTTATTATATTAATTTATTAATATATTATTTACAAATTACTTCATATCTACACTATATATAAGCATTTAAGACAAAGTCTTAAATACAACTTTTTAAACACAAGTTACAACCATTTTATGCATGATTTTCAAAAAACTCTTAAAGACAAGTCACAAAGCACAATGTACAAGTGTTTAAGCATTGAGTTTAACCTTGTTTTTCTCTCTTCTTTTTCCAGAGACAATCTCTTCCGCCAAAAATGGGTAAGGTCAAAATGGGCTTTTTTCTGTTCTTCTTTCCTTTTCCAGCTTCCTCCTCTTTTCTAGCTTCCTCCTCTACGCCTTCTTCCTTTTCATGATTCCTCCTCTGCGCCTTCTTCCCAATTAGTAAGGTCAGCCCTTTGCTTTCTTCAATTGCTGCAACCTTTGCAGAAATGGCCGGCTCCCAAGACAATCTCATATGTGCATATAACCAGAAGTTTGAGGCTTTGATTTCTCCATAGGTTCTTCAAAACCCTAGCAATTTCTTTGAGGTATTGATTTGGTTTACATGTTCTTCAAAACTCAGGTTCTTAATGTCGTTTTTTATTTCGTTTTTGGATTTCATTTCTGGGTCTGTTTTCATTTCATCTTATTTGCAACTGAGTTTTCAATATTGGATGATTTCATTTATGTGTCCATTTCAACTTATACACACACACACACACACATCTGGCCACAAACAAAAAAAGTAAGATTAGAACTAGTGATTTGATCCCTCCACAATCCTGAGGGCTAATTCTTCTTCTCTGTTGTTGCGATAATCAGCAGAAAACCCTGAACTGAAATCTTGATGGATTAAAGATAAGTATTCACAGATAGTTTATGGTTTGAGATCATGATCATCTTCATTTCAACTCTGTTCTGTTTTTTAATCATATTTTTATTTTATTTTTGTATTATATTTTTAATGGTCTATTGTTTGTTGAGGTTGAATTTGAGGTTGCTATGGAATATGAATTTATCATCTTTCTTTGCTTCTTGTTTGAGTTGGAACTGGAAGTATCTTGATCTATAAGGGGGTTTTATGGGTTTCAATACACCAACCAAGGGCAGATACAAGAAAAATCTCATCATCGGCCAATTCTCCTCCTTTTAGTAACTTGTAGATATCAAGAACAGAGAGACTCCGGTTCCGCTTTCCTACAAGCATGACAGTAGAATATTGCTTTATATACAATAAAATTATTTGCAATCAAACAATTGAAAGGAAATAGAGGAACTATTATTACCTCCAGGTACATTATAGTCAAGATCTGCAAAGTAAAAAACAAACAAACACAATCAAACATGGATATTATTAATGGATCATTACTCGGAAGATGATTTTATATTTTGTTAATACAAAGTAAACATAAGAAATATATGAACTATTCTGTGTAGTTTCTGGATAGTCCTTCTCTATTAGAAGATTGTTGATGCCTCCCACCCAATATAATAGAAATGTATAGTGTTTAGCACGTAATACTTTGCTCAAGTATAGTGTTCAGTAAAAATCTTTATTGAAATCATCACCTCCAAGTAATCACCATCACCTCCAAATGAAACAGAAGCATGTCATCTCTAATTTGCATTTTGCCCTATCATATTATTATATTGTTTTGGATTTGCATTCACCATCACACAACACACATCTTTTGGATTGCCCAAAATGTATTATACTATTTTGTTCTTACTGGTTGTGTTTGTATGCTTACAGTTTCAAGACAAAGTCTGGTTGTGTTTGTGTGCATACAGTTTCAACAACATATGTTTCTTCATCAGGTATAAACACAACTTTAGAATAGCTCCATCAATTTAATTGGACAGCATAAGCATCATGGTTAAGGAAACCTCCTTTAGGTCTATAAGTAATTTTGAGGATGTGGAGGGTGTCATCATGGGGTTCAACTTAGCAATACTACTGTTTGAATCTTGCTTACATATTTCATTGTTGCCTGTTTACATTAAGCTTACGTATGACCTATTTACATGCCTATTTTGATTTTAACCACATGAACATGCATAAGGATCAAACTTAAGTCTAAGGATCAATATACTAGCCAAGGATCAATATACTAGCCAAGGATCAGTACAAAAACCAACACCCCTGTGCCTGCTGTTTTTGTAC